GCAAGAGGATGGTTTATGCCCTCGGGGGTTCCTTCTGCAACACCAGATCCGACCTGCGCAAGCCCCCAGCCCGCACTGGGGGAGGAAGGGTTTGCAAGAGAACCTGATGCTCACGGACAAACACCCCAAAGCAGACCGAGCCCAAGGGGATCACAGCTCTGGTTTGGCCCACATGGACCAGACGCCAACCTGCAGCCTCCCGCTGCTGCAAGCATCCCACAGGTCAGGGCTCCGTGGGCTCCTCGACGGACACAAGCCCGAACTGGATTGATTAAAGACCAAGAACAGGATTTGGGATGGGGGTACATCCCTTATCTACTTTCCTCACATGCCAATCTTCCAATACCTGAAGGCCTCCTGGCCTTCTCCAGCCTCGAAACACCCAAGGGCCAGAGACAGAGAGCAAACTAACAAAGCGGGGGCTGGAAAAGCCAAGTTTGCGGCATGGTGTGCTCCTTCCCTGTGCAGTCCAGCCGTGCAAACCTCGCAGCCGCTCCTCTCATCCCTCCACTCGTCCCTCTTTATTGCACTAAAGCAGCCGTTCACAAACTGTTATTCTGTGCTTTGGCATCTTTTGGTCGATGGGCACTTGGCAGCCAGCTTTTGGCTTCACACATGGGATGGGGAAGAGCGAACTCAATGGGATTTTATGGGAATCTGAGAGTAGAGTCCCAAAAAGCTTCCCCCCTATTCTCCAAGGTACTTTTCTGGCAAAGATGCTTCTCAGGGATGGCTGGACAGTAGCCCAAGGACCACTTCTGCCTTTCCACCAGGAAGGCTGGGGAGCTGGGATGGGAGGGAGACTCCACCGTGGTCCCCAGTGACCCCTCCTCAGCAGTGCTGGGTCTGATCCCACGTTTGCCTGGAGGGAAGGAGCAGAGAGGGACCAGGGGAAGCTTTGGATGAAGCAAGCACAGGCAGGAACTCTTGCATGGATGGAGCTTTGGAGGTCTGAGTGGGAAGAGGAGGCTCCTGCACCAGAAGAGCAGGGGGAGCTCAGGTCCTGCTCAGTAGCTCCTGCCTCCTGCTCCTTTGGCATCTGAGCGTGGCATGTTTCCTGGCAAAGGAGCCCACAGCCAGCAGAGACACACAACACAGAGAAACGTTCCCTCACAGTGCAGCTCCATCCTCGCCAAATCACAGGGATGCAGGGCAGGCAGAGGGCTCAACATGTGACTCTCCCAGAAAACCAAAAAAGACACGTCAGGACAGACAAAAACCCAAGCTGCCAGGACAAGCAGCTGCAAACAAACATCTGGAGCAGATGTTATCTGACTCATTACAGGGTGGGGCAGGAAAGGGGCTCACAACCCCGACCAAAATTGGAGTCGTCTCTGCAGGGAAGCCAAACTATCTGGCAGCTGGAGATGGGGAGGGAGCAGGATGGATCTGGTCTGAAGATGTTAGGAAAAGCTCAGGAAAAAAACTACCAGGATCAGAGGCTTCCACAGCCTTCCTGACACCAGATGGGGGAACCGGAGCTGGCATCCCTAGAGAGCTTTTGGCAAATCCCTACCTGCCCCTTCTGCTGAGAGCAAGGAATGGGAGCTCGCTGCAGCCCCCCGAGGTGGAGTGGGAAGCAGTAACCCCACGTGAAGCCACCCGTCCCTACGGGCAGGGTAGGGACCAAGGGCTCTGAACTTCTCTAGCCTGGATGTGGCTTTGAATTTCACCCTCAGCGCAAATCAAAGCCCTGCACTGGTCTGACACCGCTCAGCACCCAGCCGGGCTCTCCTCCTCTCCCATTCCCTTCTGCATGTCCCACATTTCATAAAATCCATCTTGCAGGTTTGTCGTTTCTTGGAGATGAGACACTGAAGAGACCTGGCTGGAATCCTCAGCCTGGCACCCTGGCTATGGCACGATTCCCTGGTAGAAACGGGACTTCAGCACTGACTCAGAAAAATCCCATTAGGTCGAAGGCTCTGGCAGGCGTCCTGGCCTCCTCCCAACTGCTGAAGGTAAATATGCGGCAGCAGTCGTGCCGGGCTCCGCCTCGCCAGGCCAGTGCCAAGCAAAACTGGCTCTGGGGAGCCGGTACGTGGACAGGCATCTCCTCATCCTCCAGCTCCGGCACCTGGGGGAGGTCACCCCGCGCTCGCATGACTTCGGAGGCCGTGAAAATGATGAAGCTTCACATGTTGAGTCATTCCACCATCAGGAGAGGAAGCAATGAATTGCAAAGATACAGAGGTGGTAACTAAATTTACAAGTAGGATCCGTTTAAAAAGGAGGAGGAAAAAAAAATCAAAGTGGAGCAAGTTGGAAAATTCTGTTCATTAGTTTTCTTTAAGAAGTTTCAATGAACTATTTCACATTCTCATTCAAGTGAGACAGTTCCTCAAATCCTCAGTGAAAAAGGGACCTTTTTTCAAAAAAAAAAAAAAAGCTTTCCATTTTTTAGGAAGAAGGAGTTTAATCAGCACCAATAGCAAAGTGAACCGAGCGTTCAAGGGGAAGGGTGCCTCTGGGTGGAAGTCTCTCCCCCAGACATCGTTTGGAAGTAGGGAGCCAAGCAATTATTGGCATATGGATAAATACATTTGCAATGTCTTTGATAACCGCTGCCACAGAGACATGGACGGATCTTGTGGGGGCACGTGCACCCACAGGGCATCCTCTGAGGGGGTCACTGCCCTAAAACCCAAACCGTCTCAGAGCCGAGGGATGGATGTGCAAACAGCAGAGACCCTCTCCCTTCTTAATGCCAGGAGCTCCTCACTGCACCCCAGAGCACCATCCCAAATCCCTCCCCAGCTTATGGAAGTGGGCTCTCCATCTTTGGCCAGAGGAAGCACCTTTCAACATCCCCCTGAGGCTCCAGGTGAAATCAGGGTGAGGGTTTCGGTCACGCCGGTAAGGTGCCCCAGGCACAAACTTCACACCAGGGATGGGATTCATCTCCCCTTCCACAGGGAACCGTGAGCTCAGTGTTCGGGTCCCGTTTGAGTCGAGGGAGATGGGCACTGCCAGAACAGAGTTTAATGAATAATGTTTTCAAGAGGGATGAATCATTCCCTGGAACCGCTTTCCTCTGCAACAGAGGGAGCTCGGAGCAGCCGCGATTTTTAGATAGCAAATGCCCGGAAAGAGGAATCCCATCATGAGAGTCTACCTCCTGCCTCCCCCCATAGCCAGCACTAAGCCCTACCCTCTCTCTGCAAAGCAGACCCCCTGCAAGCCTCCCTGTCCCCCTCTCCCGACTACCGAGGAACTAAAGGTCTAGGATTAACAATAAACAGACTGGGAAATCATCTTTCCGGCATGTGCAAGTGTACCAGGAAGCCAAACCTTGCATCTGGCACCATTCACAGCAGTATCATGAATATTATTAGTAATAGACCTAGCCATCCTATCGTTATATTTATATATACAAAAATAGATCCACAGAACTCTACGTGAAGGGGCGGCTGAAGGAAGCCGACGGATGAGCCCTGGATGGCGGGGGCTTGGGGCAAGCCAAGGGACACGTTGCATATATTTTCCAGGGGAGCCATTCGCTTCCCTCGGCACTCACACGCCTCGGAGGAGGGATGGGCAGGCAGAGCCGAGCACCAGGACACCATCCCAGCTCCAAACTGCCCCGACCGATCGGCTGGTGTCTCACAACTGAGAGCTGGCGCCACGCGTTTTGTGAGAGGAGAAGGGGCTGAGCCCAGGACCGGGGAGAGCTTCCCCCAGCTGCAGCGATGGGTTGGGCATCGTCACAGCCAGCAAACCATGAAGCGCTGACCCCGACCCAGGTTTCCTTCTGGTCTGCAGATGGCCCAGCCCCAGGGCTTGGCTCAGACCCATCTCCAGTTTGCAGCCGCCCTTGCAGAATACCCTCAGCAGTGGGAATTTGCTCCCGGCATCACGCTGCTGTTGGTGTGACACGCCGGAGGGCAAAGGAAAGCGAGGAGAGGACTCAAAGGCAACTTCTGCAGGGAGGGAAGGTCGGGCTCCTGCTTTTCAACACCCCCTTTTGCTCTCTGTTTCCCTCCAGCCCCTAGCAGGGGTTGCAGAAGTCCCCTCTGGGGAGTCCTCCAGGACTGGTGACAGGGGGCGAGTGGCAGTTGTTGACACTTGGGATTGGGGTATTTTGTGTTTTAAAGTGAATTCAGTGCTGGTGGAAGGTACCAGATCGGGGTTGTCGGGGCTCGAGCACGGAGTCAGTGCCTGTGGCATCTGCTCGGTGGTGGGATGGAGCTGGGCGACAGCTCCCATCCCAACGGGGTTTGCGCTCCGGAGGCAGCCCTTTGAGGCATTGAGAAATGAATGGCAATTTCAAACCAGCTTCTTCTTCTCAGCCAAATCCCAGAGGGGACCTTTCCCTCGCTGCAGTCGGGCAGAAGCGAGTGGGCTGGGCTGCCTCCGATAGCTCCTTCCCCTGCCAGAAGGTTTCTAAAGCTTCCCACACCTTCCCTTCCTCTTCGAGACAGAAAAATACGATGCCACCTCATCTAGAAGCTTGCTTGCTTCTCCCAGCGGCTTCCAAACCCAGAGGAAGCCCACTGACACTGGTGGGACCCCGCAGCACCCCAGCCCCTTGGGGAAAGTGGACCTACAGCCCCAGGAGAGGAGAGAGGCCACCCACGAAAAGTGCTGGAGAGAAAGAAAGCGAGAGAGGAGGAGGTCTGGCTCCTGGAGGAATCTTGCACAGGGGATGCGTCGACCTGCCGCTTCCCCTCATCGGGAAGGACCACACCATGGGGCAGCGGCAGCTCCTAAAACCCAGAGAGCAGAGTCCTGAGGACACCCTGGGGCACCCGCAACCCCTCCTGGTCCCTCACCCGTGTGTGCAAAACCATTTCCCACCAGCCTGGTGCCAGCTCCCCTGCCCAGCCGCCTCCGTGTCCCCAGAGGCTGCGGGACCCTCAGTTCACCCGTCTCATTCCCGGGAGGTGGTGGTGGGTAGGGGGGGAGCGCTGCAGAGCGGAGGGAGCCGAAGGAGGAGGGGGATGCGGGGGAGAGGAGGAGGAAGAAGAGGAGTAAAGCCTGCATCTCCTCCCCCGGGAGGGTCATACCGGCTTATCCAGCGTCTTGGGAAAAGGCGTGCCGCTGGAGGAGGAGATCTTCCTGCAGACCGTGTTGGTGTGGCTCTGGCAGCGGCAGCCGGGTCGTTTGAGGCCGTCGTAACCCCGCTGGCAAAGTTTGAGGCACCCCAGGGTAGGAAAGTAGCAGCAGAGGCAGGGCATGAGGAGAGAGAGGAAGCTCATGGCAGCCCAGCGGGCACAGCAGGACCCCGAAAAAAACAGGAGCAGGGGTCGTCGGCGCAGGTATCCTCGTCGTCGGTGGAGCAGTGGTAGAAGAGACCCTTGACGCAGCAGAGGCAAGTCCCGTAGTCGAGGAGGCTCTCGGGGGCGCAGAGGCAGGGCAGCGCTGGTTGCAGAGCCAGCAGGACGGCAGGCTGCGGGCGGCCGTGCAGCGAGCACACTTGCAGCGCCCGCACTCCTCGCAGATGAAGAGGTGGCCAGTGTGGAGGGTGGGCTTCTCCGACACCCCCTTCAACGGCGACTCCTCTGCTTTCAGCTCGCCGGCCCGGGGCTGCGTCCGGATGAGGGAATGGCCGGAGTGGGAGGGCGTGAGGC